GGTGGAGAAAAACCAATTTGATTCAAGGTTTAGGGTTTAGGTTTGAGATTTTAAATTAATTTATAATTATATGGACTATTTTGCAATTTTATTTAAATTTAAGAGATAAAAGTTTAAGTATAAAAAATTTACTAGTTGTCACGAAATGATTAGTCTGACGCGAAAAATTTTCTTAAAATAACAAGGCACAGTAGAAATCACCTAAAATATGATACAAAAATACACTCCCCCGGCATTTCATTCCATGTTAAACTATTATTATACGGGAATAAGAAAGACGGGGCACGGGAGCAAATATCAGTATCAAGTGAACCTGGTTCATGCACTGTATTAGAATGTGGAGGCCAATTGCAGCCACCTAATATTTCATAAAATCGATATCCTCAAAAAATTTGTATCCAGCTAAAGGAAGAGAAAAATAAAACTTATTAGGATAACAAAACTATGGATGAATGGAAAGAAAATGTCCTTTAGTTTCACATCACAAATTACCTCTATTTACATGATTGTAACTCATCAGTAACCATGTCAAGGTATACTACAATCTCCGTGCCTCATCTCCCTTCTGTATGCCTTATTTGGTTTGCTGGTATAGAAGATGTGAAGAATGCAAGAAACATGAATTTCAAAGAAACATTCTTTGCTCAACTTCTTGGATGGGACGCCATTTCCATCTGGCACCTCAGCCTGCCATTGATGCATGACCAAAAAACACTGATGGACAACAAAACTGAAATTAATACATAATTTGCTCACAATAATTCGTTAACTTGAAAAAGTACAAACGACAAAGATGTTGAGCAACATGTTGACTTTGATGATCAGAAAATGGTTTTGCTTCAATGAACAAAAAAGTCACATTGGTTTATGGATGTGTATAGATGTGTCTAAAAATTATCACATTGGTTTCTAGATTGTTACCAATAGAAATCAAAGTAAATCGACCAACAAAATCGGAGATCAAAGTAATTGATCCAATAATGCAAAATTCAGTAATAAAAGGACTACCACATACCATCTCGGGCTCAAAATGAATACCGTCATCAAATTGAAAATAATTTGCAGAACCGTTGTACTCTGCTTGAACAAATGATTGAGGACTTTGCCTGTTCATCGCATGAACTGCTTTGCTGCAAGGTTCTCCTTTTTTTTCTTGTTCGATATAAAAAGTCTTCGGTATCTAAAACGTATGAAACCTAACATGCAACATGTTCCCAGGAAAAAAGCAAATAATGGGAATTCAGAAACACAATCCGGACATACACATATCAAATGGATGGCATAAACAAAATAGGAAAAAATGTATTTAGCAGGATTCAGGCAAGAATAGCAGATATATTATAAAATGTGCAGATGTAAATGATTAAATACCTTGGACGAACTGCAAGCTATCTTACACTCTAGACCATTGATAATTTCTAGTCCATCCATGGTCTGGCTTGAAAATTCATCACTACTGGCAAACTTGCGCTTATTCCTGCAAAAGTAAATAAACCAAAATAAATACATATGTTATTAAAGCATTGACATGCTATGGAACCAACAATTCTTACTCATCCAATACCTCTTCAGGTAAATTCCTGATTCCTTTTTGTCAGGGACCACAGATAAGAAGTCATTGTGCAGATAGGCTGAAAAATTAGGGTCCATTGACACAGCAGTCATTTCGGGCTTATCGTATCCATAGTCCATCAGTTGAATAGACATTTGGGTAGGTGCTGGTGACTGCAATGTGTATGAAATAAAACTAAGTTATAGAACATACAAAAGTCCATTTAAAATTTCATTTTAAAGCTCAACATATTAAAATAAAATAAAATAAAATATAAATGCTGAACCAGGTTGAGAAGTGGAACAAATACAAACTTACACATTCAATACGATATATGTTCTCATCTTGAAGAAGAACACGGGCATTTTCATTGTAAACTACATCAACAAATCTTCCAGGTTTTCTCGATTTTTCATATGCATGTAATTGAAGAAGCTTGTTATCCACCTCATCAGTGGAAACAGCTTGAAGCTGGAAGCAAAAGGACAAATTTTCAGGTTTAGAAAGAATATGGAACGGCATGGAAAAGGTAGAGAAATATAGGTTTTTATGATGTTACCTGTTTAACAAGTTTATATATCAGCTTGTCTAATGTGAATAAGACATATGACTGAGTTCCAATAATAGCTCGACAATCATCCTCGAATTTTGTACTATCAGAAGAACCATCCAGTAAATTGTAAAGGGCGTTCATAAACCTGCAGCAAAAAGGTCATCCTCAATCTTGCATAGATAATTAAATATCAAATGCATCTTCAAATTTGGAATAGAATGTAACATTAAGGTATATTTACCTGCCATATTGATCAGTAGAGCATGTATCATTTGAAGCCCTCCACTTCCTTTCAGCAGATGATGAGTTAACCTTCGCAGATTGTATCCTCTCATACAATGTCTGTCAAAATTAGCAAAAGGAAATGCAGGATAAGGAATATATAATAAGGTCTGAATGAAACCACTGGTTAATCTGTAACCATAATGATAATCATAAATATATTCAAATGTGAAAATAAACACATTTGTACCTGATGAAGTCTAAACAGCACATAAAAGGAATCATTTCCATAAAAGACTCGAACAGTCCCTTCTTTCTCATGCAACACTGGGGGAACATGTTTTGCCAGAGGCTTAACAGTTACAAGAAAACGCTCTGAATATGGCAATGAGGCACCATCTCCTTCAACATCATTGGCATCAGCCATTTCTTCAGCTTCACCTTCACTTTCAGCCTTGTTATCATGTTCATGAACCCCATCCATCTCTCGTTCTTCTCGAGAACACTCACCATCAGCAGACTCAGTACCAGAAACATCACCATTTTCAGAAACATTTTCACTGTCCTCCAATGATCTACGGGGACTTTCTTCTCCTTCATCATCAGCATCATTTTCTCCTCCTGCTTCACCACAAACTTCTCCACGTCTATTTTGGTACTGTCGACAAATTGTATTTGTACTATCTTTTCCTTTATGAACTGCCTCCAAACCGTCATGTCCATAAACTGCAAGGTTATTATCCTCTTCAAAGTCTCCGATAGGAGATAACTCACCCTCTTCTCTTTCACTTTTGAAGTATCCAACTGATTCGTCACGATATCTGTTAACTTTAGTGTCCTCAACAATGGCCCCATTTGTGGATGTAACTGGTCTTGTAGAATCAGCACCCTAAGTCAGAGTAAATAATAAAAAACAAAGGACATTGTTGTCAATAGTGTGCACTGTCAGTCCAATACAATATAGAGAATGTGTAACAAAAGCAAAGCAAGTATGAGATGACAAGCAATGAAGGAGGAAGAGTACAACATTGAGCATAAACTGATTTTCTTTTAGGTTTAAATTCCAAGAATTTCTGGCCTTAAAATGGCGCAAGTACATTAACACCTAATCTTCAATTGCATTTAGACACAAAATGTGCCTTGGTATCATGAAATGAAAATTCAAATTAAAAGAAAGCATAAGATGCAAACCAGGCAGTGTTACTGAGAACTTCAGCAGCATGCGGACCACTTGGAACCCAAAAACTAAAGTACAAAGGCAATGGTGCTCTTTATACTCTTTCAAAAAGCCAGTAGTATATGGCTTAACATTCAAGTCAAAGAAAGAATATTGATTAAATTCGAAGATCAAATTCATAGCAGAAAGAAAATCATCTTAATTAATGCAAGATAAAAAGTCATAGGAGAAAGAATCCACTTTGCAATATAGAGGCTTCAGATCTATAAGTCAAGTAACTTTAATTGCTAGTTAAATGTAAAGCAAAATGTCAACCACAAGAATACTTGTTAAAAGGAGAAACAAAGTCTTCTTGTTCATTTAAAGCCATCATATCCTTCGCAAATTCAGACAATATATGTTTTTTTGCACCATTTTCATTGTCTTGTTTGAAATTAGAAGTAAAAACATATAATTAAGACAACTATCTGCCATCAGTAAACTAGAAATTGTGACAACACTGAATATTTAAGGTATTTCACTAGCAGTAAAGGTTATACTTTCCAATGAATAATTGACATTAATGATTTAACTGTTTCTTGCATGTGTAAACTGTACATAAAGGGAGCATTTGGTGCACGAAAAGTTTATAATTTCCTGGAAACTAAGAATGATTTTTGCATAAATTCCTAACAAAATCATTTAGAATTATTCCCATGGGGGAGGTGGGAAACTAACTTTCCAAAGGTAAAAATAAAGTTTTAATGCCGTAAAAATGTCATATTACCTTTATTTACTTTTTTAAATGCAGTAAAAATCCTTAATTCTCGTGACGTTTATAAACATCCTAGAAACATTTATGACTATCAAAACAGATTTTCATGATTCATAGGGATCATGATTTCCAAGATTTATGATTCTCATGAATCATAATTCACAAGCATGAAAATTTTTTCCATATACCAAAAGCCCCTAAAAGTGAGTCAAAATTAATCCTTTTAAGAAGAATAATTTACATGTCCACTATAACTTGAAAATAGACTTATATAAGCTGAAGGAGTAAGCCATACCTCTAATGAAGGTAAATCAAGTCCTCCATCACCAGAAATATTACCAGGTCTTGATGGAGTAGCAGTAAGTCCTTCCAGAAAAGGAAAAAAAAAAAAGGTATCTCAGAGTTCCATTCATCATCAGAAAAAAAAAAGTTAAAAATCAAAGGAAAGGAAACAATTAACAAGGATCACAAATTTGAGATAAATAGCATAGTTAACAATTTTGGATAGTGGCCCAAAAGCCAAAAACCACTATGCTGAAATTTTAAAACATGTTAAACAATTCAGACTACAGGTATATAAATACTCATACAAATATAAAAAATTACCCAAAATTAAAGACATTCTTAATTAATGTTCAGGAGTCAGACTTCTAAACACACAAGTCAATAACAACAAAATTCAAAGAATAATTCAGCCTCTACTAAGGCTTAGAATAACTTAGAAGTCAAAATGCAAAAAACAAAAAAGTTGAAAGGGTCAACACACTGCAACAGAACAGAGGTAGGCAAAGATCAGTGTCATGAAAAGGAATTTAACAAAGCAATGTGTAGCAGGTCATGGCCAGAAAATGCATGTCTTAGCTGGAACTAGTGACCAGGTAGTGTGATAAAGGTATTGCATCAAACAGAGAATGATGTAGGCATTACAAGCTTGGAGATGGGTTTTTCAAAACCATTATTTTGATCAGAAAAGGAAGATATTTTAAAGAACTCCAAAACGAAGGTCAAACAAAAAATAGGGGAGAGGGTGTGGAGCAAAGATGGGTCTTTGGCCCCCACTCATACTTGTGGCTGCAACAGCCATGAATCAGTGCAGTTTCTGACACAACATGTGTGAAGCCAAAACACTCAACCACAGGATTTCTGTGGCACCCAAATGCTGCAGCTCTGAAGTGCCACTATTCCAGCTTTCATAAATGGTACAGTAAATGTTATGGTAATAACAAAAATATTGAAAGAACAGAGATTTTTTTTTATTTATATATAAACCAAGCTATCCCTTAGTTGAAAGCTAAGAACCAATCGCTCAAGGTATTAAGATTCATTTAAAAGATTGACCTCTCCCAACAAGTTTTTTTCCATACACACAAAAGATTGAACCACTAATAGCATGTTTAAGAGACGAAGTTATCTACCAAACATATTAGACATCGTTAGTAGAAAGAGAGAATAATGTGGTGATATGAGATGCGATACACAAACTTAATACACCTACTTATGCTAGTACACCCTTAACAAGATATAACTCCTAACAACAACAACAATAATATTAACAATAATAACACTAATGATAATGAGGGTTTTATTAACATGTGCCAGTTATGCTAGAGGACAAATTAAGCAATAATCATAGCATCTATTACTTATCCTGTTTACTCAAAGAAGAAAACATTTTATATGCTTTGTCGATTTAAAAAATATTAAATGTTTGGTCTTCTTTTAGTAGATTATACTATTGATTTATTAACATGTTTCATAGGGTGTGTGTTAATGTAAACCTAATCTATAAATCTATAACATATAAATCTAATAAAAGGGATATCTCTTTTTCCTGTACAATTTTCTTAAGACTATTTTGTCCAGGTAACTATTTCCAATTCACTCTTTCTCTCCCATCATCTATTTTTTATTTAGTTTTTATTCTCTCTCTTCTCTACTTTTCCATTAATTCTTTTTCCATACCTCACACTCTAATTAACTATCCACTCCATTATCCATATTTTTACTATTTTAATTTTAAAAATAGAGGCACAAAATGCCTCTTTCCCCCTAGTAATGATAATAATTCTAGAAGATGTAACAACCAAGTATTAAGACAAATGCTATAATAAGAATCAATTAGTGTCATCATTCTTGAATGAAGTTGCCAACCTGATGCATTATCCACATTCGTTCTTCTATTACTTTGCTCCATACTTGAGGACAGTGAGATATTAGCATTCACCAACCGTTCAATGGAATGATCTTGCTTCTTCACTCTTGATACGTCATCAGGTATGGATGCATTTACATGCATTTTACCCTGCTGTGTATTACTTCCCAAGGTTTCAGTCTTATGTGCAGAGTGATCTGAATCGAGATACTTATCCTCTTTAACCTTATTATCGCCACTTGTTTGCCACTGTTTGCAGGAACTTGATTGTTCTAAAGAAAAGTTCTCATCCCCACTTCTATTGGTGTTTAAATTCTTATGACTCATTACAGGACTACCATCACCATCGGCAATTGCAGTGCCACTTTTGGCAGAATTATTCTTAGACTTCATAACATCTTCTGTATCTTCAGGACCTTGGGGTCGAGAAGGAACTCCAAGCATGGGTTCTAAAAATGTTGTCCAAATCTTCATAGCTTTATCCAACTGTTCAGTTGTGCACATTTCTCCACAGGAATATTTTATCAGTTGATACAGATCTTCATGAATCTCGAGATCAGGATACACAAATTCCAAATGAGGAATAATAGGTTGTCTGCTTCCAGCAGCAATTGCAAGAAGAACATCATCTTCTTTTCGTTTCTTCTCACTAATTTCTTTAATTTCTGCCAGTAAGACTGCAAAATGCACAGCAAAAGATAGGAGTTAGGAATTAGACCCCAGAAGAATAAAAAATTCTTGTACCATGATCACTACACGTTAGAAAGTTGAAGTTACACTGCACTCAAACAATAATATGCCCACTCATTTTGCATGTGATTGTATGGTGTCTAAAGAAATTATGTTGCCTTCTAATCAATACAACCAAAGCAAATTCATGTCCTGATAAATATGTGCATAGAATTGCTTTCAGACAAAGGCCTCAGGCAAGTAGGGTACAAAAGCATGCAAAAGAAAATAAAATGAGGATGATATCTCACATGGTTAACATTTTTTGCACAATAACAAAATTAATTTATTTAAACACCAAATAGAAAAAAAATTGACAATTCCATCTTTTGCAGGTCAACATAATCTTTTTTACCTTTAGTGCTCAAGCTTTTTGTATCCTGCTGCTTAAAGTAGAAACTTCGGTGATCAAGTGATTTGTGATAGTTCTTTGCATATATTTCAGCCCAAACTTTATTAAAATCAGCACGACACCTTGCCCACTCATCCTGTTTCTGCTTCAAGCGTGTTAATATGACTGGCAAAGCTAAAGATGCATTCTTCTTTAGCACATCCATTACATCAAGCCCATGATCGCCATATAATCGTTCAATGCACCTAAGATTTAGAGCTAAAAGAATACAGCAAAAAAGTCACGTCAGGACATGGAAAACATCAAGAAATTACTTTGTACTGCAAATATGTAACTTGACAAATTTCATCCATCAAATGGAAAGCATGTAACCTGTCAAGTGCTCCTCAATGCGAATCGGACTGTCTCCGTTATTAATCTTATCTAAGAGCTTTTCAACTTGCTCAGTTGCCACATTTACAGACTCTAACAACATATCAAGTTCAAACCTAAAAGCATAAGTTCAAACGAATTGGTTATGTATGTGCAAGCAAAAGATAAACTTTGGGAATCACATTTCTAAACATTCCAGTGACATCAAAAACTAACCAAAAAGTATAATTATGACCACAACCAATAAAATAGGTATTTTAAAGTATAAATAGAAATCAATGATGAGCTCTACCTGTCATCTTCACATCTAAACAAGCTCTCCTCATACTGATTTTTGCGCATGTGTTTAAAGGAATAGTCCTCACTGCCAGAAGTAACAGAAACCCAGTGATCATTCAATACCATTGCACCAAGTTCTGTTCTCTGGCTAGCTGGCGGTATTGGGTACTGTGTGAGAACAGATAGAACATGATATAAACACAATCAGCATGAAAATACTAGAGATTTCATTAGGAAATTCTAAAAACAAAAAGGCAAGTAAAGCAACCATACATTTTTCGGTAGAAGACGGTAACTGGGAGTGCATTGTTCACAATTAGAAAGATCCAGCTCACTAATAGGTTTTGCTGCATACTTATCCTTGCTGGCATACAGAGACATCTTAG